CACACTCTCACTCGCACACTCTCACTCGCACGCTCACTCGCACGCGCTCACTCGCACGCGCTCACTCGCACACTCGCACTCGCACACTCTCACTCGCGCACTCTCACTCGCACTCGCACACGCTCACTCGCACACTCTCACTCTCTCACACACACTCTCTCACTCGCTCGCACACTCTCACTCACACTCACTCTCACACACTCACTCTCACTCACTCGCTCACTCTCACTCGCACACACACTCGCACACTCACTCACACTCACTCTCACACACTCTCACTCACTCACTCGCATATCACTCTCTCACACACACACTCGCTCACTCTCACTCGCGCACACACTCGCACGCGCTCACTCGCACACGCTCACTCGCGCACACTCACTCTCTCACACACACACTCGCTCACTCTCACTCGCACACACACTCGCACGCACTCACGCACACTCTCACATACAAACACACTCTCTCACTCACACACACTCACACGTATTCATGCTGGTGTTCTCCGGTCTGTGCACTCAGCGACCTCAGACGAGGAGATGGTCATGTGGGTGAAGGGTTTGACCTGGCTGGTGTCTGATACGCTACGCTCCCCCACACCCCTGCAGATTGAAAGGTGACCTTTGACCTCTACATGCACCCCTCCCTGCAGATATTGATTGATGAAAACCATTAAGCTCTGAGTTCACATATGTCATGTGTAAAAGTGCCTGAAATCAGCTCGGCCCGTACAATCGCAGATGTGAACGTTAAAGTAACCTGTATGTTCTTTGTTCTTTTGCTGAACTCAGATGGCTGAGAAAACAGTTTTACGCAGTGGATCGCAGCAGGGAAGACCGGTATGTTTCATATCAGTGTAACCGTACACACAGCTCCTGGAAATAACAAGCTCTATAGAGATACAGTAGATACTGAGCCGTTTTCCTGCCGCAGCGGTTATTTTAATCTCATCTTTCTTGCGAGATGTCTGTGTTAAGGTGTATGTTTTAAGGGTAGAAATGGCTGACTCAGAGGTACCAGGCGTTATCAGGCCAAACACACACACACACACTCGCACACAAACACACACACTCCTGTTGGGTAAATAGAGCACAGAGACGGCACATCCTGCAGCAGGAAACAAAGCTCGGAACTCCTACACACACATGCTGAAGGTAAATACAGTGAGAGCGGCTGAAAGACACATGAGCTTTGTGTGAGGTGTTGTATTCAGATGAAATGGTGGTCATGTGGAGGCACATGACAATTTTGACAAATGACAAATCATGACAAATCTTGTCAGAACACATGTGACTAAATCAAATAAGTGACGTACACAGTAGAAATTAATGATCTTTTCCATTCTCGATGGAAAGTTGCCTCTTCACCTGTACGTACTGACAATGTCTCTCTCTCTGTGTGTGTGTGTGTGTGTGTGTGTGTGTGTGTGTGTGTATAAATAAAGTTTGGGACCAGTAAGATAGTTTTATAAAGCGGTCTCTTCTGCTCATCAAGGCTGCATTTATTTGATCAAAATGCAGAAAAAAACTGTAATATTGTGACTTTTTTTTGCCATTTTAAAATAACTGTTTTCTGTTTTAATATACTTTTTAAACTGTAATTTATTTCTGTGATGTAAAGCTGTATTTTCAGCATCATTACTCCAGCCTTCAGTGTCACATGATCTTCAGAAATCATTCTGATATGCTGATTTACTGCTCAAGAAACATTTCTGATTATTATCAACAGTTGAGCTGCTTCATATATTTGTTGAAACATGACACATTTAAGGATTTTTGATGAAGAGAAACTTCAAAAGAATGACGTTTATTAGAAGAGCACATTTTTTTGAAACTGTGTGAAAGTCTTCACTGTGACTTTTATCAATTTAATGCATCCTCACTGAATAAAAGTGTTAATTGCTTAAATCTGGCTGAGCCCAAACCTTTGAACAGTAAACAACAGCAATTTATTATTATCTTAAAAAACACATGAGAGGAATCAGCCGGACTGACGAAAGCGCTAACAGTGCTGAACTTCCTCATAAACCTGACACTGACGTCACCGTGTGATTTATAACCACGTTCCAAAACACTTTGTGTTCTTCTGCAGAATTTCCTGTAAGGATCTGAAAAGTATGCTGTGCCAGGTCAACTACAGAGTTCCCAATATGAAGTTCTTACGAGAGAAACTTCCGGTAACAAACCCACTGCTGCATGCACTGTTTCTCACATTACTGAAGTGTTAATAGTTTATTGCATAATGTTTGTTTATTATACTTTGTAGTTATTTTGTCTGTGAATTTGTTCATCTGTATTAACACGACATTTGTAATTACTGGAAAAGTGCAGCATGTTTCTTTAAGTTTTTAAATGTATTAATCATATAATATCTTGGTTAGGATGGAGAGCTGAGGAATGGAGATGTATCATATAGTCATTTTGCGCAGTTGTACCGCAGCCTGATGTTTGACGCACAGAAATCAGTAAGTCACACGTTTATTTGTGTTTGTGTTAGTTATATGTAGGTGGAGCGGGGCAAGAGGTGAAGCCCTCCTCAGAGCCACTTAAACCCCATCAGTCGTCCCCGTTTGCCCCGCTTCTCAAATGGCCTTCACGTCAATACTTGGCCTTTTAAAAAGCTGCAAGATCCATGGGCTAAAAGCCATTAGGCCACACTGAAGCACACAGAGACACACACACACACACACACACACACACACACACATACACAGACAGACAGACAGACGGCACTGATGACCCCCTGCACTTAAACTTGTGTGTGTGTGTGTGTGTGTGTAGAGTGTGTGTGTGTAGAGTGTGTGTGTGTAGAGTGTGTGTGTGTAGAGTGTGTGTGTGTAGAGTGTGTGTGTGTAGAGTGTGTGTGTGTAGAGTGTGTGTGTGTAGAGTGTGTGTGTGTAGAGTGTGTGTGTGTAGAGTGTGTGTGTGTAGAGTGTGTGTGTGTAGAGTGTGTGTGTGTAGAGTGTGTGTGTGTAGAGTGTGTGTGTGTAGAGTGTGTGTGTGT